TCGTACCATTTTTTTGAAAATGGCGAAAGATATATCCCTCAATACACTTTCAATATTTGTTTACAAAAAAATGGTACGGAGACCCACTCTATATAAAAAACAGAGTTTTAACATTCAATTTCTATCATTTGTATGTTACTAAAGCGTGTTACCATTTTGGTAGGTTAATTACAATCAATTTGTAAGTAATTTGATTCAGGTTTTATCTTTACTGTATGCATATGGATATAAATAACTCCCAAATTTAACAAAAAGTGGAATTTGCAAGAATCTTTTTAATCGATATTTTACCTACCCTTGTGTAGGCATATGACTCGCCTAATCCACCCAGATTCTTTCTGTATTTTTGTAATTTCATTATGCAATGTCTATTTCTATGACACTGTAACAGTCTTTACAAAAGGGAGACAACCTCAAAATCCATACAAATCTAGACACAAACTTAGCTATGATTCTGAGAATTCTTACTTAAATTTATAGCTTTCAAAGTTACATCTATTTTCCTAAAAAAGAAATGGATTCTAACCTTTATCAACAGTTCAATACATATTTAACACGAGGTGAATCTTTTAGTTTGACAGGTTATAATATTTGAAATGAAATTTATGCGTATCAGATACCTCATTATCATACAAGTATTTGACGAAGTCCTACGCAATTTATGTGTATGCTTGGTATATAACATTTATAATGTAAATATGTATGATTCTTATAATTTTGTTTCATATATTTTCATGAAAGGCGATACATATATGGAACATATGTAGCAAAATTGCATATTAGTATATAGTATAATTCTTGTATTCATACGATTCTAGCAGCGTTTCCCAAAAACTATAGAATAAAAACTTCCGACAGTAACATATATTTTTTTTTCGATCTTATGTACAAAATGTAAAGGTTTTGGTAAGTTTTCATCCGAAAGTTTTGAATAATTATTTCTGTGGTAGGACAGTAGGATTCTAGCAATACTCTTCATGGTACATAATTATTACTACCAATAGAAAAAAAAATTGTCCATTTAGGCACTTTTTCGTATTAAAGACGTCACGTGATGACCTCGTGGTGGAGTGCTTCCTTTATTACACGACCCATTGAAGTCTATAGAATGGATAATGATAGAAATTGTTTTATTCATGACTGTTTCGATTTATCAGAACTACATATATATTACAAAAAAGTATAAATCAATTCTGCTCTTTGTGCTACGTTTAACATACCTGCGATTACTGAGGCTTTGAATTCATATTTTTTTATGTCTTCGGTCCTATAACACACCTGGTCGTGCCGACAAATTGAATACCGCGCGTAAGCGCAGTATGATAAATTTTGGATATATTATGTAAACTTCTTTGAAATGTCACATATCTCAAAATCTTTGTGGGCAACGATGGCAGAGTACGTTTTCTGAAAGCAAATTCCACTGAAAATTGATGTCTTCTGCATCTTTTTAAGAAAAAACGGGGAAAGGCACAAATTAATGATGTCACAATTAGCATTTAGGAGGTCATATGAGAAAAAAAAATTCCTGATTCATTAATTCACAATCGTGATTTAGATGAACTTTCTCACGTCAGAGTACATTTATATAAATCGAATAAAGAAAGACAAGATTCTCAAATACGCAAAGACTGGACATAGACAGTCAATGTACTTTTTTGAGGGTCATGATATTTGCAGTGATTCTAGAGCATTTTGCTTTGGAGTTAAGACGTAAGTGGCTAATTTTAAGTCGCAGGTTCAAATACCAATGAGGAACGTTGAAAACGGTCCTTCAAAAGGGACCTTAAAAACGTATGTCCAGTGTCGCCGAAGATGCTGTCTTAAAAAAGATCCCCACTGCTTAATGGCAAAAAAGTGCTTAGTACGTCTAAATTTGGAGTAATGGGGAAATGTTCAAATGTCGTCCCAACAAATCTCGTCGGAATTTAAAAAAAAACAATCTTCAAGGGCCTAATTAAAGAAAAATACAGTGGACGTCTCAGGAAGCTGAATTATGATTTCATGTAATTGTCTATGTCGATACAATGACTTTGTCAGCAAATACAATTTATTATTGATTCAAATGCTGACTAACGTTTTTCATACCAATTGTTAGTTCATTATTCATATACTTAATTGACGACGGATTTTTTCGTTATTTCCTGATTATGACAAGGAGCACACTGTCGGTGTCACCGGTCGGCAGGGGATGTTCACTCCTCCATGGTACCTGATCCCACCTCTGATGTTTCGGGGGTCCTTGTTTGCTCTGCTCTTATTTTGTATAGTTTTATGGACTTAGAGATTGAATACTGTACGTAATCTCCATATCTTTCTTCAAAAACATTTGGAAAGAGTATTTAAACAATATTTAAATGAACCAAACCGAATCTACAAATGATAAAAATGCTGGATATAAAACAATGTCATAGTCCCGAAGTTTAACCCGTGAATAAAGGCATGAAAAAGTACAATTGAATTATATTTATCAGGATGAATTTGCAGACATATTTACAACAATTTCTACGATTCCATAATGGCATATAGTAAACATGGGAACATAGATAAATTGTTTATTAGATCAAAACTCAAATTTAATAGAATGCACTGAAATTGAATGATGTGTTCACTAAGTGGGCCTCTCATCTGCTCATGAGACTGGCCTTTCCTATTACATACCTGAAATTCAAGAGACAGATTTGTTTGTTCGTTGTTTACCGTCCCTTTCGAAAATTTATTCACTCACATGGAGACGTCAAGACACCTCCGAAACACTCTTAATATAGTCATGGTAAATTTTTATTATCAAATTGTTTCAAGAGTGAAGAATTCTAGTTAGCTAATGGCATAAGATTGAGACAGCGCCGTTCTTATATGAAGAACTACTTCTCTGTTATCACATCTGGGCGCTATTTTGTTTCCATCAAATGCTTGAAAATCACAGTAGAACAATTTTTGCCGTTCTAATAAAAGCTGATTTTAATGAAATTGTATTTTATAAAACTTGGTTGACAATAAAAAAAAATTTGATTCATCGCATTTAAAAAAATCTTTTCAGTCGGCGGGATTTAATTGGGTCGGTCGCGTTAGGGGAAACAAAGGTATTTTTTATTTTGGCCTCATATATCACTTTTATATTCTAGAAAAATACAGGGTTTAATTTGTATTGAAAACTGTACCTTTTTCTTTATTATTGCTTAATTGATAATTGTATTATTGTTCTTTGTTATTCATTATTTTCATCATAATAAATTTGATTAATTTAAAACCTGACTTTTTATTCAGAGTTAAAGGGTAAATTTCAGAAACAAGAGACCCACAATAATTTATTTCATCGTAAAAGAAACCCCTAAACAGGCGTTACATAAATATAACGTATTATTACATTTTTACCCGTGAAATACTGTAATTTATTCATTGAAAAAAATGATATCCTGTCACAGTGTGAAAGGATATCAAAATGATATCCTGTCACAGTGTGACGAATATCAAAAGTGCGGGAAAACTCGATTTCCTTTCTCATAACGAAGATTGCTTTAAAAATATCTTCCTTGACCTAAGATAACATAGGTGGAAATAAATAAACCAATCTGACAGTGAATAAAACTGTCAAAATTACCAAAAATATGTCAAATTCATGTTCACAGTGTTTTCACCTCACTAAGCTATGACGTCTCAACCGCTCAACTATGACGTCACGAGTCCATGAATGTATTACAAAAATGACAGAGGCAAAGGAAAAAAAAAAAGATTTTTTAAATGTAATAAACAGAAAATTCAATGTTTTGTAGTTAAAAACAATTGAGAGACACATTTTATGCTTCGCACTCGTAAAAATATCAAAAATCCTGTCCCACTCGTGAAATAAATTGCATATTCAACTACAAAACATTGAATATCCTCTATGTATTTCTTCCGCGTAGTTGCATCTCAGCCAATCAGAAATATAGGGATTATTCAATCATATAATAATAGGTTTTATAAACCAATATCAAAATGTTACAAAACAAAAAGCAGATGGGTCACAGCGCTCACCAGAGTAACTTTAACCATGCAGTCCTTCACTAGATTACCCCCTTATAATACCAATTATAGCCTCATCCTACGTCCGGGTGTCATGATTTGGACGATTTAGAATCTACACTTTTCCAGCATACGTCTAAATGAGTTTCAGGTTTTCTGGCCCGGTGGTTCTTGAGAAGAAGATTTTAAAAGATTTTTTTCTATATATTTTAATGTAAAATTTGAACCTATTTTGGTCGTGCCCCATACCGGACGTCATGATCTTAACAATTTACACTGCCCCAGGATGCTTCTTTGGAAGTTTCAGCTTAACAGGATCTGTGGTTCTTAAAATTATATTTTATTTCTCCTATACTTTTCAATGTTAAACTTGAATAACCAAATATGGCTCCCTCCTAACGCGGATTTCATGATTTGAACAATTTAGAATGGACACTACCCCACAATATTTCCACTTGAGTGTCAGTTTCCTGGCCCAGTGGTTCTTAAGAAGATTTTTACTATATAATTCAATGTAAAACTTTTATTCCCTATCCTCCCCCAAGGATCATGATCTTAACAACTTAGAATTAACACTTCCCAGAATGTTTTCACATAAGTTTAGACTTTTCTGTTCCAGTGTATCTTGAGAAGAAGATTTTTTAATGACCCCACCCTGTTTTGGTCTGTTCTTGATTATCTACCCTTGTAAGGATACTTGGCCAATTATTTTAACAAAGTAAAGTCAACTTTATCCAGGGATGTTTTGTAGCTAGTTTGGTTAAATTTGGCTCAGTGGTTCTTGATAAGAACTTGAAAATGTGAAAAGACTGCAAAGGAACGGACAACAGGTGATCAGAAAATCTTACGTAAGCTTTGAGCTCATGTGAGTTAAAAAGGGACAGTTTTTACAAAAAATACCTTATCAAATTCCTTAGGTAGACCGTAAAATCAAATATTTATACTATAACAACATACCAGTACTTAATGTTCAATGAATTGAGGCACAGACAGCGCAAGTTTACAAATTCAATTATGCATGAAACAATACCAATGTACATATAGAGAATTCAAATTAAAGTTTAATGCGTCATTGTAAACAATTTGCATTACCAGCTGTCAGAAGAAGACTGAAGACATAAAAAATGGTTAAGGTTAGTCGTCTGCCAAAAAAAAACAAAAAAAAAACAAAATTTTCAATTGCCTTTTCGTGTTATTTCAAACATAGATTACAGTGAGGACCCTTTTAGAAAAGGCTTGCTTGATTTTAAACACTTCTATTGAATATGAAGATTAAAAGAAGCAGTTCCATAAAGCAATGATCAAGTGTTTTTTCCCAAAAGCTATTGACAATATGTATTATTAAAAATTTTGGGGAAATTCACCTTCAATACAAAATTCAAAGCTATTAATTTCATTATAATTGATATTCTCTATAATCATTTTAAACAATAAAGAAGACATACTACGTACGAAAATGTATCACAGCCGGCTTAATCAGTATAAGTGAAAAAATAATTTCTAAAATAGCAAAGCAAAAGTGAAATTCGATTAAAAAAATATAATAAATCACAAAATAAAGAGCTATTCATAAAGCGTTATGAAGTAAGACAATTAACTTATGTTATGTATATATTTCTTGATTTTAAAATAAAACTTGAAGAACAAATTTCACCGCGGAAGGTTTTTAGAGAAACAATTATCTAATTTTACAACAGTGTACAAGTCACTAATCTGATTAATATTTCTCCTGAACACGGGGTGTATAATGATTAACAAGTAATCTCTGAGAAGTCCGAGAATGGGAGTTCGCAAATGTTGAGATGAATTATTAAGCACGTGGCAGTACACAAAATAAGCAATACGGGATTCAAGGAGCGATGCAGGATTAAGAAATGTTGTCTTATTTTAAAATACGTTTTCGCTTAAGAATAAATTTCAATCTGTATTTTTTTAAATAAAAAGGACAAAATGAAAGAAATTAATAAATTGCATCCGCTGACACCCCCCTACCGCCCAAAAAGGCAAAAGACTAATAGTGAAGAATTGGTTAAAAAATCTCATTGAAATCGTTCAATAAATACAAAAATCTTAATTTTCATGCATAAACCTATATATCTATATAACATACACACATGTATCTGAGCACTTAAAGCTTGGCTTTGATCATGTAAGAAAATTATATATACTGCAATTCTGGTAACTTTGTGAAAGTCTCTTAAGATTAATTGATTGGTTGTATGTTGTTTAAGAAACTAAACAAAAGTATAAATATGTGAAAAAAAAACCATCAATTAGGTGGGTATACAAAAACATGCAGTCTCCAAAATGGCTCCATGACAATAAATACTTTTACAAAAATACAGATTAAACTAATATAGATTTGAATGTCATTTGTTTTATATGTTGATTTGTCCAAGTGATAACATGTAAACGGCATACTTTTCAAATTAAAGAACATACCTGGATTTCGTATATTAACTTTCAAAGTAGCCTTGATGGCCAGCTTTAAAATTTTGTTTCCTTCCCCTCTGCCGACTGAGCGTAACTTTATTGGGTCGGTAGATAGGTACAACATATTTTCCGGAAAATTTGAAGATATATTTTGACGGAATAAAATTATATTTCGTCATTCGGTCGGGAGAAGGCAGCCAAACAATATTTTAAAGATGGCCTTACACTATGTTTTATAATATTCATGAAAGTATATATACTCTATGTGAAATTATGTAACTAATATTGCACGAGCCCAGATATACTACATAAATGTCTGCATATCATTTGTCATTTAGATTCAATACAACATAAATTAATTGTATAAAAAATAAATTTAGGTCTGTATCTATAAAAAAATACCCTTCCTATACATGTAAGTTTGAGCATCGTGCTATTGTTTTCTTGTAGACATGAAAACTTTTTTTTTAAAAAAGCAACAATTAACACAATTAATATTCATTTGAAATTTTAAGCTTGTATTTGCAATATACAAGAATGTCACTGAGGACAGAGATTGAAATATACATATCTACTGAATAAAAAATAAAGTAGTATCATTATAACCAAATCCAATTTTCATTGGCTTCATAGCACAGACACTGTCAAAAATTGCCAATTTAATTGACCCTGTATCTTCTCTGTAGACTGCATGACGGGAATAACGGCACAGAGAGTACCCTGATTCGTCCTATATCATAAGTATAATAATTTAAAGACTTTGATAGTGCTACTACGAATTTGCCCTATGTAAATCTTGTTATTTTCATCCATACAAATACTCATTGGGTCTTTTAAACCAAGCTGGAAAAAGCATAGAAGATGACCGTCTTGATCCAATATTTGCACATTCGAGTTCCAGGAAGATGCATTGCAGACAAGTAAATTTCCGTTAGGATTTGTGCAAAGACCACGAGGACGAAAGTAATGTTCTGACTTTTGTCCGTAGTATATAAATTTGGTCTCACCATTTTTTGAAACAACGATAACAATATTTTTTATGTCATCTGTCACACAGATTTCCCCGCTTATGTTTTCGCATATGTATCTTGGGCAAAGAAATAACGTGCCGCCGTTAGCATGTTTCTCAATTTCTGCCAATTTTTCACCGGATTTGTTATACCTTATTATCATTCCATTTTCGAATCCTTTTGCAATTCTCTGAACTCCAACAAGTACATCCCCATTAATTTTTGAAGAATGAATACACCATCCTGCGTATTCCAGTGTCGTAAAAACAATATTCTCGTCATTTGGACACAGTTGTCGAATTTCACTACCATCTATATACATAAGATCTCCAGTACATGTTAAGGTATGCCCACCACTCCATCTTCCGTGGTATGGAATTTTTTTTTGAGTAATCCCAGACATGTTGATTTTTAGGATATTTTCTTTATCACTTAGCCAGATATTCCCAGAAACTACACTGCCAATGTGGGGTATATTGTCAATCCCAATAACATTCACGGATGCAATCTCTTCGACAGTCAAAGCTGAGCCTGAAAAATCAAAATGATTATATACGTGAAAGAGGTTGACAGAGATTTTTATTTTGAATAAAGCGAACAGTACTTTCATGTTTCATCGGGTAAGTTCAATGTTTGTTATTTTTTTCATTATATTTTCGAAATGCTATAGCAACATATTAGTCATGACATTACAGATAATTCTTTAAGAAAGTTTTAACTTCAAATCTGTATTCAAGTCCTTTTAATTGATTCTTAAGAAGTAGTCTCATATTTGCAACGATGTGTCTAATCGAGCATCGAGTATTTTAACTCCTTGTAATTATTATTTATATATATTTCAAATTGTATTAACAAAAAGAAGTAATATGAACCGTATTCATAGGATAGTTTTAGAACAGTGGAATTTATCATGAGAAAAGTCTTTGTATAGCCCATACTAAAAGGAAATTGTTTTAACTCGCAATTTTTTTGTGGATAGTGGTGGGAAAGTGTGTAAAATTAAGGTCAATTTGTTTAAGGAAGATTTTCGTTACATATTTTCAAATAAAAAGTTAAGAAATGTATGTTAATCTTAATTTCTTTGAGTGGGATGGGGGGTTTGTGGTGGTACCCCGTCGCATCCACACTCATCCAAAATTAGATACTCCTTAATGGTATGTTCATCTAAGTCAGTAACGATCGAATAGCTCTTGAAAACTGTTAGTATCAATTTGAAATGCCGATCTTCTTAAGACCAATGTTGGGAAAATAATTCTTCATATTCACCTGGAAAATCATGTCAAGGTTAATAAAAAGTATACTGCATTCCTTTTAAATTGTGGCATCTCAGTCAGTCAGAGATAGGGGTTTTAAGCTGAAATTAATTTTGCTGAATTCATTGGAACTATAATTTTCAAACAGTTAAGTCATTCCCGCTTTTAATATTAGTGCACAGTCTCAATATAAAATGGAGGCAATTAACATTTGAAATATTACTGACCTTTGTGAACATTTCTTTTTTAAAAAAAAATTGATCAATTTTACTTCTATTATATTTCGGCCTTGCTAGGAAGTACATATTCTTGAAATATTTTTTTAACTTTGCAACTTGATTTGAACTGAACACCATACGTATTTTTCATGATCTTCCGATGTCGAAAAATTATTTTTGGGGAAAGATGAAAATTTTCCTTCAAGGTTTCTCTTACTGTGAATAAGTTCCCTGCTTCCACTGTCTTGCCTCCTATTCTTCAATGACTTGAAAAGAGAGTCAATGTATCGTTTTATATAAAGTTTATTACATGTTAGGAAAACAATAAAAAGCAATTATGCAGATAAAACAAAAACAATTAATTAATCAATAATATTAATTTTTCATAATAATAATTATTATTATTTATACTAATTAATCGTCTAATTTCGTATAAATAAAGCAAAATGAAATAAATAAAGAGAATTTAAGCAGCCATGCCAAAACAAAATAACAAAAAAACATAGTATAATCAAATTTAATTTATTTGTTGGTCACTTGATATAAAAATGTCATATAATGTGTACCGCGTTTACGTCTTAAACAGCTTTTCATACCACAAGTTAGAGTATATCCTAGTTTAAGTTAAGAAAATAGATGATAAATTGTGTCTCCATAACTTGTAGATTTTTGAAAGTTCTTTAAAAGTTTTTAAACAGAATTCAAATTTCATTAGATTTAAAGTATCTGGGTTCGGAATGAAAAATGTGCAAACCCTACTACGTATTTCATGAATTTGTAAACGAATGCTCTCAATTTCTGGAAAGCAGCAGCACCTTTTTACGTTCAGGAGTATCTTCTATGTCTTATAATTCAATAAAAATATAAACAGAATCATAATTTTAAAAAACTATCAAAAATAGTAAAGTTATATTTAGTGCTTTTGTATTTTTATTAAAAGACGCCTCCATGTCAGACATGAGAACACGGTTCTTCAAAACTTAGGAAAATTAATTGAATATAAACTCTTGATATTATTGAAAAATTACACAGATGGTTTCACATCGGTATTATTGATCTTAAATAAATAACATATTTTAATGCATTTTGTACTGTAAAATAATACCCTACTAACCTGTACCCACACTACATTTATTTATATTTTATAGTTACGACATCGTTTTAACAAGATAATTGCAAACAGTTATTGGTACCTCCGTATACCTTGCTTTGAAGGATTTAATAATTTTAACTATCAATATGCGTTATTCCTGAAACAAAATCACTTTCTCGAAAAGGACGTTAAAGAACAAACCAAGTAATTAAATATTTATTTTACCTCCTTCCAGATGATTTCATCAACTATGACTTTTCTCTGGAATCCACATTTAGGACAATTTATGTTCTCTCCAATCATCTTAGATTCTTCTATGAAATGCGAAATTGGGACATTTTCCTTTCCAAACACGTTCTTTCGACACATATAGCCTACTTCATACGTGCAATTTTTTAACCTTTCTGCTGACATGTCAATAACTTTGGTAATTTGTCCACGCACGCCTAAATTATCAACCATTTTTGACTGAGAAATGTCAAGGAACTGAACCACAATTTTGTTGTTACTATACATTCCAACCAACACCTTACTTCCATTTACGTCAAAAAGGGTTGCCATCTGGTATATGCAAAGATATTCCATTTTGAAAATTGTCCATTTCAGCTGATTACAGCAAGCAGCAATAACGCGATGAAACATATCTTTGGGAAGATAACTGAACTGGAAACACAAAAGTGATGAGTTTTCTAAGTGCTCAAACTCTTTTGTTGGAAATATTTGCTTGTTCATACAAGGACAATACCACGTATCCTTTGATACAACCGTCAAGAGGTTTAGTCTCACCATGTAAGAAAGTATTTCTCTTTTCTTTGAAATGTACAAAGCACCTTCTGGACAGCGTTTCCATATCGAATGCAAAAGGCAACCAGTCAATAGACCCGTTTCATTGAATGATTTCCACTCTTCATACAATTTTTGGTCGACATCCAATTTTGCATGTTCCGCATCCGTGATTACATGTTTAAAAGCATCAACGAACCACTGGACATCTAAAATAATAACCTGTTTAAGGAATTCTTCGTCAAAATATAAAACAACCCCAATGTTACTGAGAAATCTAAGCGGTGTTTTGAGATCATTTTGATTCTGTATTCCAGTATTATTTGTTAAACAGTTTTCCAAGAGTGCCTCCAAAGTTATAATTTTCAATTTTTTCAGCTTTCTTATCTGGCATTCAATGCAGAACCAAGACATAGGAATATTTTTCCCCAGTTTGGAAGCGTCTGGACTATGTTCAATATGCAGTTCTTGATTTCTTGAAGATCGTCATCAAAACCAGTACTGAACGCTTTTCCATAATCAACATGGGCACTTAACTTCGGTAATCTGTCACGAAGATCTCGAAAGTAGGCTTCACCTTCCTACAAAGTGTATAAATCTCATCAGATTCAATTTATTGAAATCATTCACCATTAATTTAAGGCATGATGATGTTTTAAAATATAATTCTACTCAAGATATCAATAATCAGCTATTATTTTGCGATATGTGCCATTCGCTGAATAAAATTACTAATCTTTACATATTGTCAAAAGGAATGGCTTAAAAATATCTAAATCAACAGTCCTTTTGTGAAGTTATGTTCTCGAGATTTAACATACAGTACGCGATTCACTTTTAAATAAAGTTTTCGAGTAAAATAGCTCGTAGTCTCTAAAATCCGAAATCTCTAAAAGTGATCTGCTTTATTCGGAACTATTGTGTTACTTTTTTCCTTATTGTTACGATGATATACAGATTTTACGAACAACAATCAAGCTCCAAAAATACGAATAAGAAACAGAGTAAACAATTGCAAGGACCTCTAAAATGAAAAGACGAGGGAACAGGCGCCATGGAGGATTAAGTTTTCCCTGTTCCCTGTCGACCGATTACATTCACCATGTGCCATGTCATGATGGGGAAAATAGAAAAATCAGTTTAAAATTCAGTGTGCAAATGAGTACTATCAAGAATGATTACTTCAGCAATATAATTATATTAAAATACCGCTGTATTATATAAATAAATGAGAAAATGGGCGTTTTTAAAATTTATCTCACCTTTCTAGATATTCCTTCCGCGTGAGTTGCCACAAGAATCAGAGGAGCTCTATCCATACCATCACTATTCTCTATCTTTTCATTTGGTGTCAGTCCAACGGTATGAGACAGAATAGATTGTAGCCAGTATTCTGTAAACTCTAAAAAAAATATATGAAAATCTAAATTACATAGCTTGGGGATATCAATTCTATCAATTTAAAATAATTCTATTTTCAGCAATGATTCAAGGGTTGAGGGACGTTTGCGGATTTCAAGAATTTGTAAGGTATTTTGTATTAGGAAAACAGGAAACAAATCATTTTTCAAAACTTCATCTGGTATACAAAATTGGAATTTTGGGAATGGTGCCGGTGGTAAAATTATACTATCTATGCCCGACGGACCCTACCATTACAACTTTATGTTAAAGTCTACTTCAGAAATTAATAAAAAATACCACAATTTTAGAAACGGATATCTACAGAGTATATTTCGAAGTGCTTGAATACATAAAAGGTTAACGATAAATGTATTAATAATAGATTTTCGATCAGGTTATCAAAACCAGAGTTCATCAAAGAAGTTGAAAATATCTGAACCATAAGACGGACCGACATTTTCTTTTCAATTTGCAAAAGAATGCCAAAAACATGACGGACATTTTACATATAACGTAATACCATTGTGCTCTTATGTGTATATATGTACATTTTATTATAAATATGTTTTATGTTTCTAGTCGGTAAAAGAGCTTTATAGCTCATGTTCTTTGTTATGTGTATGTTGTCCGATTTTAAATAAAATTTACTACTACTACTACCAAATTTCCTCCGATTTAACGTTTATGTTGGTTTATAATAACACGCAAATCGTGATAAGTTTTGGAAAGCTAGAGAATCAAATCAAACACCCCGTTCTCCACAAAGACGGGATACCTAAATATTTTCATTTAAACATCTCTAAAAGAATGAAAATTGGAAAAAAGCTTTTGTTTAATAAATGCATTTTCTTAATATAATATTTTTCTACGATAATTTGTTTCAAATTATTGCGTTTTACAATTTCGATGTATTACACCAATTTTTTGTTCGTAATGCATTCCTAATAACTTGAGAAACAGTTACAATATTTAACTATTTAAAAGAAATACTCCTTGTTTCAGTGTTTCTTGAATAACTTTCATTTAAAAAATATGGCTCCAACATATATGATACAGCAGCAAAATTCATTTTACCTAAGTATGTCCAACCACTATATACTGATCTTTCCATTTTATTAATTTCTTCTTCAGTTTTGGCATCTTTGTTTATAGCTGTTTGTTGAGCTCTGTCTTTGTACACCATGTGGTCAAATTTCTTTGTGATATCCATTACTAAGATGTAAAAATCATTCGGGGAAAAGTATATGTGATGACAGGCATAATATGCAAATTGCCCAGCAAAGTCAAAAAATGTTATTATTTTTCTATCGTTGTCCGTAAAAGACTCGGACAATATCTGAAATGTCATGTCAGTTTCAGGGGAGATATTTGCATCATCAGTCGACAGGGGGCCGAAATCGATTGTTTCAACGTCCTCATCGTTTACTTTACTTGGTTCAGTAGTGGTTGACCCTTTATTTCCCGAAACTGTCCCATCAGGTATTACATTTTCATTCTCTTTGGTTTTGCTATTTTCAGCAACTTCTGAAACCTGCTCATTATTTTCTTGTATGTTTAAAGGGGTTTCAATGAAAGACGCAGATTTCTCAATTCTTTTTTCTCTAACAGAGCCCTCAAATCTTGTTTTTGTTGAGGTCTGATCTCCATGGCCTTGTTCTGCTTGATTTGTACTTGGATCTTCTTCAGTGTTTAAGTTGGATAGAAGACTTGGTTTATTTTGGTTGGCTGTGACTGAAATTAAAGATAAAATAAGAATGTTGAAACAAATCAGTATTACAAAAAACAATTTACAAAATCAAAAACACTTTTATAAACGGGACATTATTTCACTCATTGGTTTAGCTATTGCTATCTTTTATGATTTAAAGTAATTTTAGTGAAAAAAAACCCCTCCCAAAAAATCAAGTCTCTAAAGCTAAGGATTAAGGTCAAACGATACATTCCCCAAATATCTGTTTTTTATATCTTCATAATGTATGAAAAATATACAAAATTTTAATTACTTTCTGATTTCTAAACCGGTTTCTAATTGTTTTTAAAAATTAGAAACACTAAAAATATGATTTTTGCAAAATAAGTTTTTTCCCTAAAGGATTATATAAAAGATGCCATCCTCTGGTATCTCGCACAAATGCCTGGTAAGGTACCTCAGTTTTTTGTGAGTAAACATGTTAAAGTAGTAATTCTTCAAGGACAAAATCTTGGAAAAAGTTACATATTATCGAGGAACGTCTCCTCTGTCCTTAAAAAAACTAGCACTTCGCTATTCTAGACTGAACAATGTCCCGACTCAACTGACCATCAAGTCTATCCTCGTTTACTGTCAACATGTTGACGTGGACATCTAATCCTCTTGTTGACTGGGGATCTGGATTATCTTTTCCTTGCAGCCGGAGAAGAAGACTTGTCTTTCCTGCCCCCTCACACCCAACCAGCATCCCTCTGGCAACAAAGACTTTATGTTCACCACTTCTGAGATCACGAAGATAATTTTGTATACCCTCTTTTCCTAAACTCAGAATGCCTTTCGGAATGTTCACTATCAGAGAATAAAAAAAAATCATACATAAAATTAATCATTTAATGGAATTTTTCTACTTGTTCACATTAATCTTCAACCTTTAAGATAACAATTAACGAATTTTTTTTTAAAAATAAAACTTGTTTTGACTTATCAGAGAAAAAAGAACGTTAATAATTGAGTAACATAATTTTAAATTTTAAATTTGAACTTACATTTCTCTTCAATAATATGATGACAAGTTTCGTCTGTGATAGAATTGTTAGAGAGAATGTCGAACTTAAGTCGTTGCACAAGATTTTTAAATTGATCTGGGCTGAGATTGCAGCATATTTCACCTTCACTCTTTCTGTATCCAGGAGACCGACAAAAGATACCAAGGTTAGAGGATGTCGCACACTTCATAAAAAAATCTAGGAACCCGCTTCTTTTCAAGAAAGATTGGAAAATTCGTTCTGGGGAAATCAAGCAATACTCTTTTTCTTTAAATTCAATGTAATCATGAAATGTTTCATATTCTATTGCGTCAAGTGATCTGACAAGAGCAAAATCAACTCAATTCAATACCTTCATACGCACTAAGTATTCAATTTACAAGAGGCCCATGGGCCATATCGCTCACCTGAGAAGCTTTGACCATGAAGTTCTTTACCAGATTTCCGCCTTGTAATATCTTCTGTGACCCTATCCTACCCCATGGGTAATAATTTGGACAATTTAAAATCTACACTATCCCCCAGGATGCTTCCACATAAGTTTCAGCTTTTCTGGCCCAGTGGTTATTGAGAAGACGATTGTTAAAGATTTTTCCTACATATTTCTATGTAAAACTTTGATTCCCTATTGTGGCCCCGCCCAACCCCCGGGGTCATGAATTGAACAATTTAGAATCTGCACTTTCCTAGGATGCTTCCACACATGTTTCAGTTTTCCTGGCCCTCTGGTTCTTGAGAAGAAGATTTTCAAAGATTTTTCCTATAGATTTCTATGTAAAACTTTGCTTCCGTATTGTGGCCCCGCCCAAGCCCAGGGGTTCATGATTTTATCAATTTAGAATTTACATTTTCCTGGGATGATTCCACATAAGTTTAAGCTTTTCTGTCCCTGTGGTTCTTGAGAAGATTTTCAAAGATTTTTCCTATATATTTCTATGTAAAATTGGATTCCCTATTGTGGCCCCGCCCAACCCCTAGGGGTCATGATTTGAACAATTTAGAATCTGCACTTCCCTAGGATGCTTCAACATAAGTTTCAGCTTTCCTGGCCCTGTGGTTCTTGAGAAGAAGATTTTCAAAGATTTTTCCTATAGATTTCAACGTAAAACTTTGATTCCCTGTTGTGGCCCCGCCCAACTCCAGGGTTTCATGATTTAAATTTCAAAGATTTTTCTATATCTTTCTATGTAAAAATTGATTTCCTATTGTGGCCCAGCCCTAAACCAGGGGGACATGATTTGGACAATTTAGAATCTACACTTCCCAAGGATTCTTAAACATAAGTTTCAGCCTTTCTGGCCCAGTGGTTCTTGAGAAGATTTTTAAAGATTTTTCCTACATATTTCTATGCAAAACTTTAATTCCCTACTGTGGCCCCGCCCTGCCCCTGGGGGTCATGAAATGAACAATTTAGAATCTACACTACCACAGGATGCTTCCACATAAGTTTCAGCTTTTCTGGCCCAGTGGTTTTAGAGATTTTTTAATGACCCTACCCTATTTTTGTCTTTTCCTGATTATCTCCCCTTGTGAGAGGATCTGGCCCTTCATTTTAACAATTTATATTTCCCTTTACCCAAAGATGCTTTGTACCAAGTTTGGTTGAAATCGGCCCAGTGGTTCTTTAGAAGAGGTCGAAAATGTGAAAAGATTACAGGCGGACAGACAGACGGACGACGGACAAAATGTGATCAGAAAAGCTCACTTGAGCCTTTGGCTTAGGTGAGCTAAAAAGGATGGTGGATGCTGTTATAGGAATGATGATATCAAAATTAAGAATCAAGCCTTATATTCATATTCTACAATGTTATATATTCACAATTGTTTATAATTTCAGTATTTTTATTGGGTGTCTTTAGGTCTTTGGGTGTCACTTTAGAATTGAATAATGTAAAAAGATTACCCTTGTAAAGCAAATTAAGTTTATGTGTGCTATACGAATGAATAACACTATTTTTTTCAATTGTGCCAAGATGATGTGTATAGCAATATAGTTGTTAGCGTTCGTACGGCATTGAAAATGGATGTAGTGCCTAATGTGCATTCTTTCCCACAATTACAAGGTTTTGTGTGTTATAAGTCAATGTTAAAGATTTTTAATGGATTTCATGAAGAAAATTATATAAGTCTGTGAATTAACCCATATAATAATTTACCACGATCATGAATCCACTGTGTCCCAGGGTCAGGATTTTAAAACATCGTAATCTACAACATGTCAGTTTCACTTCTTCTGACCTAGAGGGTTCACTTTCCTCTGACGAAGACTATTTGATCCTTAATTCTATAAAACATGTATCTACTTCACCCTAGGATACTCTGTGACAACTTCGATCCAAAAGACTCACATGAGCTTTTAACTAAAGTTGGCTAAATAAACCTTTAACCTATATACACACAGGGGACAACCTCCCAGTACATCTAAATGAACCTAGTTTCATCGATACTTTTGAAATGGAAAAAAAGTATTTTAACAGTTGAAAATCATTATGTATAATCCATGTTTAATCGAATGTGTGGCTCAACGATAGAAATTACCTAGACTGCATTTAACAACCCTATCGCAGTGGTTGTCATATTGGAGACAGCAGGCGTACTCTCCAATATCTAAATGACCTGCATTTTCAATAACAAGGTTAAGTTTATCTTCAGCAAATCTGAATTTTCCTCTTGTGTCTTTTATTTCTATTTCCTTTTTATCTTTAGACCAAATAATATTTGAGGGACGTCTTCTCTTGTCTTTGGGAAGTATACATCTCAACACAATGTTTTCTCCAGCTATTTGTATCTTAAGAGTTGGGGCAGTTTCTGAAAAAAGAAGATGTACATGTAATCACATTTTTCATAATACATTTTAGCGAATAAGTCTGTCGTATAAAGTTATCATATAATCTTAATACAATGTAACAAGAGTATTTCAAAATAATATGTAATGTTTAACAATCAGATAGTACATGTATGATTCAGAAATGTAGAGTTAAACATTCAAGTGGTATTCAGAAAGGTATTATGTAAACATGTCTGTATTGAAAGTCTTACATGTAGTAAATAACAAAAATTCGTTCTGCATTAAAAATGGTAAAATTATATTTTAAAAAACCCGAAAGTTTTGGCAGAAAAAACTCACACATATTAACAAAAGATATTTCCACGTACTTTCTCGCACATATTTAAATTTTAATTAAATTATATGTGTTGTAAAATATATTTTAATCATTTTGAAAATAAAATGGTCTATCTCTTCAGAAAGAAAATAACAATGAAAAGAAACTTACCCAAAAGCCCAATTTCTTCATCTTCATGGTACCTTTCAGAACATTTTGAAACTGTAAAAGAAATTACATGTAAATTGCCAAATGTTATCATGGCTAAGGAAAAGATGGCACAGGTACTTTAAAGAAAAAAAATAACTGTGCTTTATTAATAGAAGAGCTTAATCTCAAAGAAAGTAATAAACAACATCACTATTCTATTTGAATATTTTTACAACATGTTAAGATATTGTAAATGAATAACATACGTATGTTAAAGCTTTTGATAAAATGATCACCTCCTTAATTATCTGGATATGATGTCAAAATGTACAAATTGAAATCGTCATTTCCCTATTGTGGCCCCAACCAACCCCGGGAGTCTGATTGAACAACTTAGAATCTACACTACCCCCAGGATGCTTCCACATAAGTTTCAGCTATTATGGCTCAGTAGTTCTTGAGAAGAAGATTTTTAAAGATTTTTCCTACATATTTCTATGTAAAACTTTGATTCCCTATTGTGGATCCACCCAATCCCCGGGGGCAATGATTTGAACAATTTAGAATCTACACTACCACAGGATGCTTCCACATAAGTTTCAGCTTTTCTGGTCCAGTGGTTCTTAAGAAGAAGATTTTTTAAAGACCCTACACTATTTTTGTCTTTTCTTGATTGTCTTCCCTTGTTAGAGGACCTGGCCCTTCATTTTAACAATTTAAATTTCCCTTTATCCAAGGATGTTTTGTACCAAGTTTGGTTGAAATCGGCCCAGTGGTTCTTCTGAAGAAGTCGAAAATGTGAAAAGATTACAGGCAGACAGACGGACGGACGACAGACAAGAGCTAAAAACCATTGAAAATACTTATAACTAGTTTGTATGAATCGTTCTATATTTTTTTTTACCTCTAAATTTCCGGGCAACTAATGTAGCTATAACGACGGCGATGAAGATGATAATTACAGGGATAATTACACCAATGAGTACGTCATCTGAGGAAGAGTTGGGATCTGATGACTGTGATGTTGTAGATGGTAAACGTGTCACCTTACTACAAAAGAATATCAAAAGATGCATGGATTTTTACTTGAAATAAACCGAATGTAGCCCAATGTATCAAAAAAATCTTTTAAAAATCAAACTTATATTTAAGAGCTTTATTATTTTCATTTTTTATTTTATTTTATTTTTTTTTTTTCATTTATAAAAGAAAATATACGTGCAAGTATAATGATTAACTGGCTAATTGTTATTTCTACTAAAACAAAAATAGAATTAAATTTGGTTTATACCCCGTACGAAAGTTCGAGGCGGAATAGGCACGGCTTGGGCACGGCTAAGACATGGAATCCGCACGGGTTTTTAAAAAGCCGCACGGGTTCTGCATGTCCAAGACACGGACACGGTTTCCGTGTCTGAAAGTGAGGAATCCTCACTCACAGAAATCCGTGTGGAGACACGGAATCCGTGTCCCAGGGAGACGGTTTTTAACTCAGGCAGGTTTTGCTTTAAACTATTTATTTATATCTCATGGCTTTTTACTGAGCATGCTCAATCATAACTTCCTTTATTTGAATATTAAATTGGAGGGATTCATGGTCATGAGCTAAGTCAATGTGTCTTTTTGCTCTATTTAAAGGATATTTAACTAAATAGATGTCAGTTGGAATTGTATTTTTGTCAGTCTGGGATAATTTCTTCACTTTTGAACTAAATGCAGTAAGTGTTATCTAGAATAAGTAAGTCAATTTTTCAATTTTCATGATCTTCCTGTATTGTGATGTTGACAATGAACATGATGAAATAGTTTAGGTTTATTTGAATGACTTTAGTTGGACTTTCACTAATCCTTTATAGTATATATATTTTTTATGTGACATCACTGTGCTAGTGAAAGTTTTATTTAAAGTAAATTCTTTCTCAGATTGTGCAGACTTAGCTACTAGATTAAATTACAATTGAATATTGTACATTATCATTAAAATCGTAATTAAAAACTAGCATGGATTGTAACTGATAAATTTAATCTATAACAGAAAGTAAATGGACACATTCATATAAGATTTTTAACTTTTGAAATTCAAAATCTATAAGCATTAATGTAAAGCAATGTGAATTAGTTTGGTTTCAGTCACCATTTTTGCATCCACATGCAGTTACATCAGGAGATTCTCTAAAGGCCATGACCTAGATCTAAACAAATGCACAGATCCCGTGACTCCTTATATGGTATACAGCATGGCTTTTTTGACACGGGTTTCTGAAAAACCGTGTCTCCATATATGGAAAAGGACACGGGTTTCAGACACGGGTTTACAGAATCCGTGAGTCCATATATGGAAACAAGCACGGCTTTCTGACACGGGTTTTGTAAAACCGTGTGATCTCATTTAAATATTTCGGCCAATATCCCGTGCCGTGTCCGTGCCTCGACCACTTTTAGGCACGGCTTTCCATACATACTTTACATAGGAGCACGGAATGCTAAAGCACGGGTTTCTGGAGACGGAATCCGTGCCTGAGCCGTGTCTAAGCCGCCCGGACTGTTTCGTACGGGACTAATCATAAACACTTTCAATTCAAACAGTTTACAAGGCAGAAAAACCCTTCGACTTTTAGAAATTATATGAAAATTTAAACTTCCTTAGTTTGTGTAGTATATTTCCACAGAATATATTCAAATCAAGTTATCAGATGAAATAATCATTTTAAAATAGATTAAATATGTCATGTTATGTCATTTTGTTTTGTTTTGTTTTATTTATTTTTTTCTTTTTGCCAATACACCATAACAAACAAAAAAATACAGTTTGGCAAAAATATTCTGATAGTAGAATGTTTTTAATATTAAAATGACAAAGATTTCAATATTTTTCTTTTTTTTTTTTACTTTTGTCTCAAGCATTTCTCATCTGCAGTATAACATCCTTCCAGCTTGATCTGAAACAAAACAAATGGTTAAATTGGTTAAGTGTCTTTGCTTTGTTTTACACTTTTATTAATCAATATGAATATTATCCATAGCATTATATGAAAAATGGCGTTTCTCAGAAACTTTTTTGTTGACATGCCTTATTACAGATGTAGGAAGAAAACTGTGTTCTTGCTAAAATACCTGGTATGCAGCAACAGGTACATGCACTGCCTGTTCAGTAGATATAAGAATAAAAAAAACCTTTTCTAGAACAAGCATATTTCATTTTATTTGACGACGGATTTTTCCGTTATTTCCCGGTCATGACAAGGAGCACACGGCGGGTGTGAAGTCAGCAATGGATGCTCACTCCTCCATGGCATCTGATCCCACCTCTGATATTCCAGAGGTCCGTAATTCTCTGCTCCTATTTTGTATTGTTTTATGGACTTTGATATTGAATACCGTTAGTTATCTAATGCATGAAAAAGAAGAAAACACTTGCTGTGGTCTTCAACTAGACATTTAGATATATCGACGACGTATTGTCAATTAACAATGGTAATTTCCATTCCTTCGTCGATACGATATATCCTGGTGAGTTTGAGATAAAAGATACCACAGAGTCTGACACATCTGTTTCATACTTGGATATTTTACTTGAAAATGACGTTAATGGTAATATAACAACCAAATTATAAGATAATCGTGATGACTTTAACTTTATTATCGTCAACTTCCCTTACTTATGCAGTAATATACCTTCATCACCTGCATACGGAGTATATATACCTCAGTTGATTCGATATGCAAGAGCTTACACTACGTATGAACAATTTCTAAAACGAGGTAAATTATTGACAAGCAAGTTGAAAAAAGAATATCAGCCGTCTCGTTTAAAGTCATCATTTCGTAAGTTCTATGGTTGATACAATGACCTTGTCAGCAAATAAAATTTATCATTGAGTCAAATGCTGACTGACGTTTTTTCATACTAATTGTTAGTCCATTATTTACGCATTGACGACAGAGTTTTCCGTTATTTCCTGATCATGACAAGGAGCACACGGCGGGTGTGACCGGTCAGCAGGGGATGCTTACTCCTCCATGGCACCTGATCCCACCTCTGATGTTTCGGACCTCCGTGTTTCCTCTGCTCTTATTTTGTATAGTTTTATGGACTTTGAGATTGAATACTGTTCGTTATCTCCATATCCTTCTCCATGTCCTTCTTGGGGGTACATGTAATTAAAAATAAGTAGCTTAGCTCGAAAAAGAGAACAAAGATTTTTTCCCTGTTAATTCCTATGCAAAACTTTGATCCCTATTTTAATTTTGACCCCATACTATTCCCGTGGGATCATAATTTCAAGAAACTTAAACTACATCATGTAATAATTGTGTCAAATAAGTTTCAATTTTCTTGGAGCAATGACTCCAGATCTATGAACATTTTTTTTTATATTAAAATGAATGTTGATATTAAACAAATTTGAATCATACTTTCGAGGGTCTTTTTTGACAGGTTTGGTGGAAAGTGGCCTAGAGTTTTTTGAGAAAGAGGTTAAAATGTGAGAAAATAAGTCAACAGACTGACAGACAGATAAAGCGACAGAGCACGTCAGACAAAATCGGATCGGGAAAAACAATTCTTTTGACTTTCCAGCTCAGAATTACGAACAAAAAAAAAGAATACTTGCATTCATAAAGTTCATCACTTCTGTAAGTTTCGTTTGGACATCCATCAATAAACCCCGAGCAGTTGTATGTGTCAACATAATTCGATTCCAATAAAATCCAACAGTATCCTCAAAATATAATCAATAAAAATAAGTATAAATTTCCCTCCCCTTCAAAAAAAAAAAAAAAAAAATATTAAATGAAAATTAATACTTACCTGATATTATAAATGTTCTAAATAAAATGTAAATAATAGAATCTAAAATCTTTTTAATCAAATTTTACGTGTAAAATATCAATCTAAATACCTCTTATACTAATTAGTCGACCGCGTGTAAGGATGTTGTTAGCACGTTTACTAGAGTTGCGGGACAGGGAATTGATCCTAATGTCGCGGGTTCGAATACAAAGGTAGGGCGTGGATACTGGTCCATTGAATGAAACCGTACAAACCGATTTCCCCTGTTGCTGTAGATGTCCATCTTAAACCAGAAGTCTCTGTCGAGACTGTAGCTCTACTGGTTTGTACTTATCAAAAACCATTGCACTATTTTATGTATCTTTGTGTAGTCTACTTGTGTGCCAACTTATTTTGAAATCAGACAAAAACTGTAGAAGGAGTAGCGTTTTTAAGGAATTCCACAGAAAATTCTATTTTGAGTAACCATAGCAATACCGTTCATCAAAATCAAAAACCGATGCACTATCCTATGTATCTTAGTGTAGTCTACTTGTGTGCCAAGTTAAATTGAAATCAGACCAAAACTGTAGAAGGAGTAGCGTTTTAAAGGAATTTCACAGAAAATTCTATTTTTAGTAACCATGGCAACACCGTTCATCTAAATCAAAAAACGATGCACTATTCTATGTATCTTAGTTAGTCTACTTGTGTGCCAAGTTATACTGAAATCAGACAAAAACTGTAGAAGGAGTAGCGTTTTTAAGGAATTTTACAGAAAATTCTATTTTTAGTAACCATGGCAACAGCATTTATCGAAATCAAAAACTGATGCACTATTCTATGTATCTTAGTGTAGTCTACTTGTCTGCCAAGTTATATTGAAATCAGACAAAAACTGTACAAGGAGTAGCGTTTTTAAGGAATTTCACAGAAAATTCTATTTTTAGTAACCATGGCAACAGCATTTATCGAAATCAAAAACTGATGCACTATTCTATGTATCTTAGTGTAGTCTACTTGTGTGCCAAGCTATATTGAAATCAGACAAAAACTGTAGAAGGAGTAGCGTTTTAAAGGAATTTCACAGAAAATGCTATTTTTAGTAACCATGGCAACACAGTTCATCGAAATCAAAATTCGATGCACTATTCTATGTATCTTAGTGTAGTCTACTTGTGTGCCAAGTTAAATTGAAATCAGACCAAAACTGTAGAAGGAGTAGCGTTTTTAAGGAATTTCACAGAAAATTCTATTTTCAGTAACCATGGCAACACCGTTCATCGAAATCAAAAACCGATGCACTATTCTATGTATCTTAGTGTAGTCTACTTGTGTGCCAAGTTATACTGAAATCAAACTAAAATTGTAGGAGGAGTAGCGTTTTGAAAAATTGTTTACAGACGGACAGACAGACAGACGGACGGACGCCGGACGCATTACTATCGCATAAGCTCTTCTGGTCTCTGACCAGTAGAGCTAAAAATCAACCAGTGCTCAAAAGACTTAAGCTCAGAATAGAGGAATAAATTTGCAGCTCTCCGCTTGCAGATTTATACATTTAAAGGAAGGATGTAGCAGTATGATTTAAACCCATAACAAAAAATTTATCTCTTTTAATCTAGATACGGGACTCTAGAAAAAACACTCAAACCCCAAACACATATTTATCACCTATATTAAAAATACCAGTAATTGGAATAAACTTCCACGTATCATCAATTTTTTTTTCTTTCATAATTCTAAAACTAGGGTGGTTTAAGTCAGGAGTGTAACAAATACATTAAAATGATTGCTGATGAGTAAATACAAAAATTGTTCATTAGGTTATATTGTGATTGTCCTGTGAAGGAAAATATCCCATAAAATATTCTTAATATCTATGTCAACTACCTATATATGCTTTAAACAAAAATGCTATAATTGTAGAAATAAAGCTAGGTCTTAATTTAAAACTTTTAATATGTGTTTCGATATGAAGTATTGGATTTAAAATACATGTATTGCACAAGTTTGTTACTGCTTGATGCTGATTACTCCTTAAATTTTCGTCTTAATCAATGTTTATTTTACTACAGTCAATTTGGTGGTCATTAATTTTGAATTTAACCTAATAGTAAATGGGCCAGAGTATATTTTTTCAAGAGAATAAAAATATAATGTAACTGTGCATGAAATGAAATGTGTCTTTAAGAAAGGCAGTTTCATAAAAGGACATATGAAATTGGCTAGAAACAGGGTTTCTTGCACATGTGTCCCATTTCAAAGGATTGATTGATTGACTGTGTGTCGTTTTATGTCCCATACGAGAACTTTTCACTCTTTACCACAGACGTTCCCATAAACCAGTGAAACGCTAAAACTTTCGACATCTCCTTGGCACTCAGGGACATTGAGCAATGAGGAATTTTTATCGTTCCAACACCTATTGTGACATGGGGCATCGGTTTTTAGGTCTCATCCGAAGGACCCGCAACTTTTACTTCAAAGTACCAAACGCATGGCGAAGGAAGAGTTTCTTCCCATTTCTATCGTCTTAGGTCAGTCGCGGCCGAGATTTGAACTCACGACCTCCCGATCATGGAGCAAGCTCTATTCCGACTGAGCCATTTCAAAAGAATATATTTGTTACCAAACTTAGTTTTCTCTAATAATGGCTATAGTCTAGAATTTTTTGCAAGGCTTTACTCTATATGAAAAAAATTGAAGAAAAAATACCTTTTAAAACAAAAGTAGGTGGTTCATCGTAACAGTATTCCAATAAAGTTGTTTGATTTTCGTTCGAGGTACACTGGTATCTATCTTGTGGGGTGCAGTTTAAGTCACGTGATGCCTTCTCCCATGATGATTGGTTTGTTGGACAGACGTCAACTTCATCTACATGAAGTATCTTACCTTCATTCTGTTCAATAAATTAAAGTGTTGTGGCTAAATTACAAAGTTAACATAACATTATTTGATTCATATTAAAAGGTAGTAAAACATGGTAATATCCTTAGACCTGCTTTATTCGTCAAATGTTTCAAGATATTTTAACTTATAGGTTAATAGATTTTCCAAATAAACTCCGAAACGTGTTAACCAGAGTTCCTGAATTATCCTTTATGAATACACTAGGTCTAAGATTATGTCCCTTTTAATACTATACAAATATTCGGATTTCACTGG